GGTGTCGGGGTGCAAGTGGGGGGAAGTGTGCAAGGGGCATCAGGGCACAAGTAGCGGGGAAAGGGTGCCAGGGTGCAAGGAGGGGGAGAAGTGTGCAGGGGGTGTAGGCGTGCAAGTAGGGCAAAGTGTGCGGTGGGTGTTGGGGTGCATGTAGGGGGAAAAGTGTGCAAGGGGTGTCAGGCTGCAAGTGGCGGGAAGTGTGCAATGAATTTTGGGGTGCATGGGGCTCCCGGGGTGGGCAATGTTGCTTGGGGGGAGCAGAGTTGTACCAGGCTGGGGGGGTGTGTGTGCAAGAGTTGCTGGGGGCGAGCGAGGCGTAGGATGGTGCGGCGGGCTGGAGGTGTGCAAGGTCCCGGAGGTGTCACCCCCGAGGTCTCCGATGGAAGCCGGAGCTGCGCACCCACACCCCGGAGCCGTCCCCGCAGCCCCTTTGGGTGCCAGCCCTGGCGTCCTCGGCCCCGGCGAGCTTTTACGCAACCTACGGTGCAAAGGTGCGTGCCGAGCCTCGCCGCCCCAGGCTGCCACAAGCAAAGTCCTTGTGCTGCTCCGCGGCGTGGGAGATGCCACCAGTGCCCTCCTGGCATGGGGCTGGAGCAGGAGCCACCCCCCACCCCAATCCCGGGCGGCTTTTCCCAACCCTTGTGTTGGAATCCCAACCCGGGAGGGAAAAGCCGGTGGGACGGTGCGGTCCGTGGTGGCTTTTCCAGGGTCGGGGCTTTACAAAGGGACTGGCGCGGCTGCAGGTATGCCGGTGGTGGTTGGGTTTTAATGAGGATGAGCCTCTCGAGGCTAACGAGCGTGCTGGCGGTGCCGTCGAGTACGCGCCAGGGTAGACTTCGTGGCGTCATCGGTGTGGTAGGAAGCGTCGTGAAGGGTATTTCCTCCCTCTGGCCTGCCAGCGTGCTGCTCTGGCAGCTTAAAAAAAGAGAAAATAAAGTTGGGAAAAGCCGAACGCCCTCAATACTGTATTGCCGGTGCTGACGGATCCTTCGTGGTCCGGTCGGGAAAGGCTGCAAGCAGATGCTCTAATTTCTCCTTTTTTCAATGCAGGGCTCCCCGAAAGAGTAGAAGGAGGAGAGGAGAGGAAATGCCTTCGCTTTGAGGCAGTGGAGGTCTTGCCAGTGGGCTGCGATAAGCACTCAAAGGAAATATTCTCTCCTTTTTTTCTCCCTCGCGTTTTCCCTCTGGGTCTGTGCCTGGTGGACCTGCCTTGTAGGTTTGGGCTGCTCTGCATCGTGGGGCCCCCCCGCGAGGCACGGGGTCCGTGCCCACCCCGAGTGCCTCCGCACCGGCTCCTTTCACAAATAAGGCTGATATTTTCTGCCAAGTCACGGTCGGAGCAGCATGTCGTCACTCCGGACTTTATGGCGTTAAGAGGGTATTTCCTCTGCGGGGAAAAGGGAGAGGGAGAAAACGAAAGTTGTGCTTGGTTTCCCGGAGCGGGAGGTGCTTTGTAGGAAGGTAAAAGTGCTGATTTCACCGGGCAGTGAATTCCCTGGTTGCTTCAGGGCTGACAGTGCCTGTGCTAGGATTGTGCCGGGGCAATGCCTTATGCTGGGAATAATCCCACTCGGCAAACTGCCTTGAAGTTCTCGGAAGCAGATAAAATATTCCGGCTGTTGGCTGGCTGCAGGAAAACTCCAGCGGAGCGTGACCAAGGTCACCCCATGTGTCGGGACCAGGGCAGAATCCCGAGCTGCAGGCTTTGGGTCCTGCGCCTTCAATGGGCACTTGCTGCTGGTCTGTGCCTCTTCTGTCTGTCTGTTACGGGAAGAGGTGACAACTGACCCCAAAAGGGCTTTTTTTTCCTGTAACGGGAGTAACCGAACACTAACTAAGCTTGTAAGAGCAGCTGTCTTTCGCTTTACCATGGGAAACGTGCCACTCTCCTCCTACAGAAAAGCAGCGAAGCTCCTTCCTTAGGCTGACTTTCTGGATAATAATCACCGGCATCAGTCACGGCTGAGCAGAGCCCGTGGAGGAGGTAGGAAGGAGGTGCTTCAGGGACCTGGCTAAATCCGTGCTGTAGAAGAAATGTTTTGGGTCCAGCGAGTCATTTCCTCTGAAAGAGAAAGTGAAAACGTTTTAATTTGGGGAATTGTTCGCTTCAGACACTTGCACAATTCCTGAGCTTGACGAGGTCGGGGTAGGGCAGGCTGCGGTGGTGGTGCCCTGTTGAGGTGAGTCAAGGCAAGCCGTTAAAACAGTGCCCTATGGACCTCTGCGAAGTTCGTAGATACGCCTGTGTGACAGCACCGAAAACACCCAGAGGTGCTGTTGGTGCGCGCGGCGCGACACGTGCTGGGATGTGACGAGGGAGGGTGTAAATCCGTGATGCCTGTGCCCATGTGCAGCCTACTACAGCACCTGGCTGCGATAACCGTGCTGTTACTTAAAGCACTCGTTGCTGGCCGTATGTGCATTTTGTTCGGAGGGGAAATGTGTTACGGGTTGTACTTGCCAACTAAAGCTTCAGCTGGAGGCTTGTGGCGATTGAGACTTGCTTCGTGTCTCTTCCTTCCCATCCTTTTCCTTCGAATGGGAAAGACCACCTTGCAGCTTCAGCCTTAACTGCACGTTGGCCTCTGTCTTACCCACTTAACGCTGTCGTCATAGTAAACCCCTGGCTTGAACTGCAGGTTTTTAGATGTATGCCGATGGTGTTTCTCATAGTGCTTAGGCTTGTTTTGTTTTGTAGCTGCTGAAAACACAGCTGTCCTGGCAAGCCTGATCAGCCTCCAAATTAATTGTAGAGATCAACATGGCAAGGACTTCTGATGGTGGCAAAAGGGAGTTTCTGGAGGACTCCCCTGGAGCCTCCTCCCTCCTCTTGCTCAAGCCATTTGGTGGCTTTTCTGCAAGGCTGCTGGAGCTGGTTTCCCAAGGCAGGTAAAGTTGCTGCCTTGAGGATGTGAAGAACTGTTGTCCTCACCTGGGAACTAATTGCTGGTGTGAGACAGCTCAGTGAGAAACCGGAGACGTGCTGGGCTTGAACCTCCCTTCCTCGCTGTGGGTGGCAGTTGCACTAATGACAAAAAGTCCTTGCTCTGCCGTAACTACGTTGCGGTTGTTCTCCGTGAAAACCTGAATTGCTCCTAACCAAGCTGGTGCAACAAGACATCTGTAAATTGATTTTGCTGTGGCTGTGCGTGGTTCCTAATGGGTACGGGAGGTCCCGTGCTGTGCTGGGAACTCCTGGGGTTGAAGGGTAGGAGAAACATCTAGCCTACATCTGCAGTGCCAGAGGAGGGAGTGGAAAGGAAAGCAGAAGTACAATGGGGCTTGGTGGGAGGGATGGAGCAAGTGTTTTGGTGGTTCCAGCTAGGACAGTCAACTGTGGGTGACCTGCCTGGTGCAAGGAGGCTTTGGAGCTTCCCTGCTTGTAACTGAGGTCTTGAAAGCACACAAGGATGAGGGTGGCAGGGCAGATGAGCTCCTGTGAGCTGTTTTACTGTGGTTTATTTGGACTTTGGGGTTAGGGATGCTTGCCTTGGCTTGGGTTTGGTGGTGGGACGTTCTGCACCCACCCATCTCGACACGGGTCTGGGAGGAGCAGTTACTCTTGTTTCAGCTGATAGCGTTGGGGTGCTGGAAAGTCACGGCTAACCTGTTCGACTGACCCTGTGCTCCCCTCCCGTGGGCCTTGGCAGACAGGGCTGGGTGCCACACCAAGTGTGGTGCTTGGCTGGAGAGCTGCTCTAGCTGAAAAACAGCCTGGCAACAAAGAAAAGGGAGTTCAGAGCTTGAGCATGGCACGGGTCGTGCAATAGCGAAGCCTCCTCCGGCGTGCAGGATCCGACTGGGTTGCTGCAGAAATGCTGCTTATTTCCTGGTAAAAGCATATTTTGTTCACCGTGTCTTTTGTGAGCTGTAGGGAGACCAGGCTGGTTGTCTGCCACATGAATGTGCAGACTGAACTTGGAGAAAGCATGCCATGTTCAGGGGGGGAAAAAAAAAAAAGGTGAATTAGATCTGAGCTTGTTTGTACAGTGGCATGTCAAATCAGTGACCCTTTGCGAGAATATGCAAAACTAGTGACCTGAGTCTTGTTAGTAAAATGATTCTAGATAGAAAACTACCCTGGACTATTCCTGTGCTCCTGGCAGCTGGAAGGCTGGGTGCCCCCAACCCCCAGACAGCATCCCTAAAGACGGCGCTGGTCCACAAACAGCAGGTAACCTGATGAACCTGAAGCTGTGACTTTTGATGTTGCTTCTTATGCCCAAGCTGAAACCAGGACTACTGGGACGCTTGCGGTTGTCGGTCCACTGTTGCCTTATGCAATGAGGATTAACCTGAGTAGGTGGAGAAGTGTTTCTTGGCTGGTTTAGCAGGGGGTGAGGCTCCTGGAGGAGCCTGCTGGTTTCAGATAAGTGGCAGGAGCTGGCAGGGGTGAGGACTGCATAGCTCATAGCAAATCATCATCATTCACACCATGATAAACTTATCCTGGACAAAACAGAGCTGAACCTGTTTTCAGCTCTGTGCCTCTTGCGTTGCAGCAGGCACACGAGAGATCCTGGTTTTGGTTACTCCTTGGGCTGTTTGTCCTCTTTGTGTCCACAGCTTTAATGAAAATTGCAAGCCTGTGGACCCGGCTGTGCTGGTGGTGACGCAAAGCGCAGTGTGCGTGGGTTAGGTGGGTAAAACATGCACTTACCGCCCGCTCTGGGTACGGGGTGAGCTTTTGAACCCCTCTAGAGTGGCTCAGGTGATCAACAGAAAAAAGAAAAATTGAAATTTTTATCCATTCTCTTCTGAAAGCAACTGGATCTTCAGTAAGGGTGGAGATACTCAGGGTTAGTTCCCAACAACACAGCACCACGTGCTTTGGTCCCGCACATGCCAGGCTGATAGTTTATTGCTTTGCAGGAGCACTTATCCCTGATTACCTTGCTGACGAGATGATGCTGCTGCATGTTTAAATTATATCGGCTGCTTCCAAGGCATCCCAGCCATAGACCGGGGTGAGATCGAGATCTCCTGGGGTCAGTCTGAAGCAATGCCTTCAAGTTAAAACTAGCAGAGAAAAAAAAAAAAAAAATCCAAAACCCCAGCTGGATGCGACCAGCTCAGCAGCAGTGGGTCATGCTGAGTCACACTGACAGTGGAACGGCTGCCGCGAGTTTCTCCAGGGCATCGTGAAATCTAGCCCCTTCTGAGGAGCATCCGTGGGACGGGAAGGTGTGGAGACCTGTGTAGAGGGGTTGCAAGAACCTTACGCCAGCTCAGCGAGGGCTGAGAGCCGGATTTAAAACCTGTTTTTAAATTCCAAGATAATTCAGGCCTGTTGCTGCCTTTACAGGAGGATTTTTCTGAGCTTTTGGGTTTATTTCCAGCACTGTTCATAGGTTACAGTGCATTTAGTGCTCTGAAACAGGAAGTTTTGCTTGAGGCCACCAAATTCCCTCTTGTAGGGTGATGCCTTGTCATGACTGCTGGCTGATGCTTAAAAGTCTGAAATCCAGCTATCTGCTGAACTTTGTAATTCCTGTGCAATTTTTTTCCAAGATTCACTACAAATGCAATAATTTGTTGGCTTAGCCTCACATATTGGTTAGCTGCTTCCATAGCTTGGTTTTATTATACTGGATTGAAGTCCTGAATTCAGCTCTGATCTCTTCCTTGGTCTCAGAAAGTGTGCGTGAAAGTGCTTTTCAGTCTCTGGTAACTAGAGTGGTTTGAGGAATCAGAGGTCCAAACCTGAAACACTTTTATTGGCTTAATCTTGCCTGAAAGCTTCACTGTAGTATTGCCTCCTGGCTAATTACTGATGTGAATTGATAAGCTTGAAGGGATGTGTGCTGATGAGGCAGTGCGGAGGTGGCACAGGCAGTCCTTGCTTTTTCAAGGGCTGTTGAATCTCTGCCGAGGACCGAGCCGCTCATGTTGCTTTGCCTGCGAGGGCGGCACTGGTGTCTGCACGCTGCCAAATCGTTTGGGGGAAACTTTATTCTGGAGATGGGGCGTCCCAGCTGACGGGGTGGAAGGCGTCCTTCCTGGCAAACCTGAATGACCTCTGAATTGCCGCTCTCAAGCTTCTCCTTGAAAGAGCGTTAATTTGGTGGTGTTTGTGTTTCAAGGTGTGAGGCTGCACCAAAGGCTCTATCCCTTCCGACTGGTTTCAGTAAGATGGGGTGTATCAGCGGTGTTGCAGACCAGCAAGACTTGCGGGCTGCTCAGCAGGAGTAGCAGAGCCCTTTGCGTCTTGACGCTCTAGATTTGCTTGGTCTTGCTGGGACGCTCGCAGAGTTTTAAGCCCTGCCAGCATCTCTCCCGTCGCTGGTGGGAGGTGGCTGGGGTCTGTGCCCTGCAAACACCCATCGCAGGCTGGCGTCATCGTTGCAAGGGCTTTGAGCGTTGCTGGCGTGCGATGGCATCGGTCTGCAGAAGCCTGAAACAAACTAAAAGAAGTAATTTTTTTCCCACGGTGCATAATTAAGTGATGGCGGTGAGTTTAATAGGATGCTTCGGATGCCAGAAGCTTAGCTGCCTTTAAAAATCTGTGGAAGAAAAGCCCGTCGAGGACTATTGAACAAAGATGTGGATGAAACCTCCTGGCTCGGGCAGTTGGTGGCTGCAGGGCACGAGGAGCTGGGAGGGAAGATGGGGTGAAGGGCGGCTCTGGGGGACGCAGTCATCAGCTGGGTCTTCATTGGGTCACTGCAGGAGAAATGGGGTGGCCTTTGCCTGTCTCGCCCTCTACGGGGGGTACCCCATTTTCTCAGCTTGCCCTTCGAGGAAACCTGTTTCCCAATCGAGCGGACTAAACTCTGCACACCGAGTGTCTCAAGCGGCTGAGCAACTGCAGGAGAAACAAGCCGGGGCAGGGAGCTGGGAGTGTTGTAAGCAAGAGGCAATTAAAGACCTAACTGTATTTCTTCACTCAGTCTTTTGAACAACTGCGCTAGCTTAATTCCCTGTACTTTCCATGCATAAACAAGAGCAGAGGTTACACTTCCCTCCGCTGAGCGCTTGTCTGAGCAGCCTCGTAATGTTTTGGTGTTGCAATGGGAGCGTGGAATTAATCTCGCTGGTCTGGCAGGCAAAGCGGGGATAAATAGCGCCGTGGCCCCGGCGCGGGTGCGACTGGGGAATAAATTATTGACCCCTCTAATGATCTTGGAAGTTTTGTAGCTCTTTAGCTCTATGGCTTGTGCTTGTTGCGTTAAAGACGGGTAACTGAGGCCTCTCCCTTCGTGTGCTTTGTTGCAGACAAGGATGCAGAGCTTGCAGCCGGACCCCAAAGCCCAGTACAGGAGCGTGTACGAAGCTTTGAAGAAGATTGTCCTTACAGAGGGTTTCTGGAGGCCTTTACGTGGGATTAATGTCACCATGCTGGGGGCCGGCCCTGCCCACGCAATGTACTTTGCCTGCTATGAAAAAATGAAAAAGTCTCTAAGTGATACTATCCAGCATGGAGGAAACAGCCACTTGGCCAATGGTATTTTTGTTTTTTTGAACAAAAAAAACCCGATTGCAGTTAATAGCCTGTCCCTTGCTCGCTTCGTATGCTTAGCCTGGCATCCTTCGCTGTGCTCCGCTCCTGGAAGATCTGCTGTAGGCAGCCTGCATTCAGACTGCCGCCCTAAATATCCATAGGGGAGGATGCAAGACGCAGACGTAACCCCAGGCTTGCAGTTCTTGGCGTTTGCTTTGGGAGCCCTGGAGAGGCAGGGGGAAGTCAGGCGGGCAGGTGTGGCACCTGCCCTCTGGTTGAGTGCTTCATGCGGGTCACCATGCTCCTCTGAAACCCGTGCCCTGTCTTCAGACTACTGACTGCTTGGTAGATCTCTCTTCCAGAGGGTAGAGATGGCTGGGCTGGCTCTCAGCAGCAGAGTAGAGAAGCCCTTCCTGGCCTGAAACCCCTGATGGCAACTGTTGTGCACCCTCCAAAGCCTTAGTCTAATCTAGATTTGTGCACTACTCCTTCATCTCAAATTATTCTAGCACAAGTAATCAGTACATTGGACGAGGGTTCAGATGCAGTCGCAGGCTGTTTCTGGCTTTGTTGAAGGCATCATCTAAACCTCTTGAGGTCTGAAGTGCAGGTTGTTCCCAGATGTCTCCTGTGGAGCTCCAGCACGGTAAAGTGCACTGCGTCCTCTGTGTGCTCACATGCTTTGTTAAAGACTTTGCTTCTACCAGAAAGGCTTTTGCTTTTAGGTCCAGCAATACTGCTGTAACAGCAGAAACCCTCTAACTGAGCAGCCGGGGTGTTACAAAAGGGTTTGTGGAGAAGACGCTTCTGCCTGGTCCTTGACATGACGTGACAGTAGGAATCTGCCACGGCAGTCACTTGACTCAACCAACTCACTTAAGAGTATATAATATCCTTCTGGCTTGCTGCTTTTTGCTAGTAACATGCTTCCCGTGTTTGCCTTTCAAGTAGCTACAGGCTTTCAGTACCAGTGGGAAAACTGAAGCGCTGTGTTAATGAGAAATGACCGAAAGTCATTTGGGCAAGAGAGAATTTGAGATTGAAACCTACATCAAAGGTGAAGGTGTGGCTCGAGAGGCCCGTCCTAGAGCCAACTGCAGAATCATTAATGGCTGGCTGGATGTTTGCAGAATCTGTGCAATTAGCGTTTAAAACTAGACTGAGTAAATGGATGAAAATGCCTAATTATGGATGTGCTGAGCCAGTTCTAAACATTGCTCACTTCGCAGTCCAGCGCGGGCTGAGTGAAGCCAGTGGTGTCTTGCATAGACAAAACTTTGCGAGTTGTAGGGCATAGCAGAGGTGGCGGCTGCGATCCTGTGAGCAGATCCTGGTTCCCGTCAAGCTGCTCTGGATGGGTTTTTCTGCACTGGGAAGGAGTCGTGTTGCTGGCTGCTTCGTTGGGCTTGCCGCAGAGCTGGGCTGCAGCTCCCCAGGCAGCAGTACCCGGGTGCTCGGGGCTGCCTGCACCATCGGCCGCTGCCTCCACGCGTGGCAGTGCCTGAGCAAGCCCTGGCTTCTGAATTTTTTTTTTTTTGAAGAATGCTCTTGTGTCTTGCAGGTATAGCTGGGAGCGTGGCCACGCTACTCCACGACGCAGTGATGAATCCCGCTGAAGGTAATGCCCTGTGCTGTCAGGGGAAGTGCTGCACCCCGTTAGCAGCCCTGGGAAGGCACCGAGGACACCCTGCACCATCTCAGCAGCTTGAGCCCTTTGCTTTAGTGACTCTGCCCAGCTTCGAGTGAGCTCAGACAGGCCAGTGTAAAGGGATAAATTCTGCCTGGCTGTTTCCCTTTGCTTGCCGAGGGGTTGCAGAGCATCTGCGTGGCGTATCGTGGCTTTCCAGGAAAACCGATGTCACCTTTACTGACACGATGCTGTTACTGCTCTGCAAGCGCATCTTCATTGAAGTGGTTGTGGTTTTTCTGAAGCTTTGGGCTACCCAGACAAAACTGAGCTCGGTCATGTTGTTAGACAAGCGCAGCAGCTGTTGGGACTGTTGTGTAGCCTTCCCACCTAGGTAGAGTCTGGCATTAAGAGGGCTAACGGCGAAATGCAGCTAAAATGAAGACAATTAGCTGGACTGCCAGCTATTCAGTGTTAATGTATTGCACTTCTGCGTTGGCCCAAAGCCAGGTTTTCCCGAAGGGGGGAAAAAAAGTCTCTAGTGTTTAAAATAATTTTAATTGTATTCTGATTAAATTAATTAATTGGCCTTTTGCTGAAGTCAATGGAAGCTGTTCCATTTCAGGACTTGGGACTGTAGGTGGGGTCTGTTACACTTCCCAGGTGATGCACAGTTATTTAATCACCCTTCTGCCCTTGTCCTCTTGGTATGTCAGTGTTTCAGCACAACAGCTCTGCATCCTCACAGATGCATCTGAGGGTCCTTATCGGTCTGTCTTAATGCCTTTCTAGTGAGCAGTAAAAGTTCCTTAATTAAGCTTGAGGAGAGGAGTGGATTAGCCTGTGGACGTGGAGAGCTGTTGAACCAGAGCCTAGCTCTGACCTGCTTCCCTCACTTGTTGCATTGAGGTTTTTTGGGGGGCACTGGGCGGGCTGGGGGAAGCAGAGGATGCGCGCAGCCTTTTGGTAAAAGCCTGTCGATAAGGAGCTCCTCGCTGCAGAAGTGCCTGGTGTATGTCCTAGCAGTTTGGACTTGGGAGGGGAGGTTGGGTCTGGGAGCAGGGTTCGGTCTGGGCGTCGCGATGACGAGGAAAGATGTGCCGTAGCTAATAAGTCTTTATCTCCCTGTGCCTGTCCTGCCTGGTGCTGCCTGCCCTGCCTTCATCCCCTGGACCAGTGGTGAAGCAGAGGATGCAGATGTTCAACTCCCCCTACAAGTCCGTCCTGGCGTGCATAAGGACAGTGCAGAAGACGGAGGGGTTCAGTGCCTTCTACCGCAGCTACACCACCCAGCTCACCATGAACGTCCCCTTCCAGGCCATTCACTTCATCACCTATGAATTCATGCAGGAGCAGATCAACCCACACCGGGAGTATAACCCTCGGTCCCACATAGTCTCCGGTGCCGTCGCGGGGGCTGTGGCCGCCGCCGCCACCACTCCTCTGGATGTCTGCAAGACCCTGCTCAACACCCAAGAGAACATGGCCTTGAGCTCTGTGAACATCAGCGGACATCTCTCGGGCATGGTGAACGCCTTCAAGACTGTCTATCAGCTGGGGGGCATTTCGGGGTATTTCAGAGGGGTGCAGGCACGCGTCATCTACCAGATGCCTTCAACGGCCATCGCCTGGTCGGTGTATGAATTCTTCAAGTACTTTCTCACAAAGCACAAGCTGGAAAAAAGAACATCCTTGTGAAGGACTTCCCGCGAGTGAATGCGAGCCTCCGTGTCCCCTCCGTGTGTGTCTGTGTGTGCCTGCAAGCCACCCAGCCCTGGGTCTCTGCTAAGGAACATGCCAGGTTTCTGGTGGAGTCACAGCTGACGTCCGCTTCTCCCTCCCCAAGGAAGGAGGGGTTAAAGTGGTCCTCAGTCACGTGTTCCCCTCCTTGCTTAAACAATTAAATAGTTTATAAAGACTTATAATAATATATATATTTAATAACTTTATTTTGGAGAAGTGAAATTGCTAACTGATATTTTTCTCTGAATAAGTTTGAAGATGTAGTTTACTCCTCACCAGAAGGCTTAGGTTATACAGCCTAGGCTGGGGTTTTTTTACAGAAAAGAAGCAAAATATCTTGTCACAGAACTTACTTTTTATATAAATATAAAATAGATGGATAATGTTTATCCTTTATTTTTCTATCTAGGCATTTGGGTTGTTTTTTAAATACTATCACAGCTAGATGCTGAGCTGTTTAAAAAGGGCTAAATTCTTCCATCCTGTGTAAGGAAGACACAAAAGCATTTATTTTTATAGCCAGATTGGCTTTAATTGTACAGCATTTAGCCCCCAGACGGTGGCCTGGATTCTCGTGTGGGTGTCAAGGTACTTGGTAGCCCCTTGAGACTTGCTGGGGTGGGGGAGAAGGAATGGGGGCACCACTTTGGGAAACTGTAGGATGCCAAGGAGGGGCACCCCAAAATACCTGATCACTCTGGGGGGGAGAGGGGGAAACTATCAACTCCATTTTTTTTTTTTTTTTTTTTACAAGGAGAGTCTTAAAAAAAATATATGTAGATTTTTAAAGAATAGTATTTTTTTGCAAACACTTTTTTTTTAAAGGTACATTTTTATGGTGTGTGATAGCTAAACAGCCTTCATCCTCCCTTAATTTATTCATACTTCTTTTTCACTAGGGCCCTGACCCCGCTTACAGGAGCGACCGTGCACATCTTGATAGCTGGCAGGGTCGAAGCAGGGTGCGTGGAGCTGCTCTGCTCCCCGGGGGAGGACCAGAGCTTCTGTTTACAGTTCAGCTACTGAGTCACAAGGGTCGCATCCTGGCAGCACCAAACCAGCAGCAGGCAGTGAAAGCCTTGGGAAAGCCTTTCCTGCAGAACCGAAGCTACCTCCCAGCCCATGTTTGACAATAAGCTGCTGCTCATCTCTTTTGGGGAAGCGGGGGATGTGGGAAAGCAACCTAGAGAGGTTCTTGGTGCTGTGGGTTTGGTTTTGCTGCTGTGGGATGCTGAGCTTCGCAGTGGCCAGCGAAGCTGTGCCCACTTGGCGAGGGTGGCAACCTTGCTGTGTGCCCTGCTCCTCCTGGGAACGGCTCTTCCAAACCAAAATACAGCCTTTAGCCAGTTACTTGGATGACCAGTAGCTAACGAGGGATTTTAGGGGCCTGGATGTGTAAATGTAAGTTACAGAACACCAACTGGCAAATCTCCGTCCGCCCTGGAACTTGCCCTGCCAGCAGCAGCTGATGTCTGGAGCGGGCACCATCTCCTTACTGCTGGGCACGGTGCAGCTTTTGGAGATGTGGCTTCAGCTTGCTGTGGGCACTGGAGGGGGTCTGCGGGCGAGCTGCGATGCGAGGGGCAGCTTTTGGGCTGGCAGGTGTCGCTGGCTGTGTCCTGTCAGCCAGGCGTATTGCATAGGATGACACTAAGCAGAGCAAATCCTTTTGCTCTGTGATTTGGAGAAAGTAAATCAAAGCGTGCCTCTGGGTGGTGTTGCATGTGCCTTGTGTAAATTAACCTTGTACCACTGATGATGGTGAAATGAGCTTCTTGATGCCTTTTTGTCACTTAAACTGAATGAATCACTGTGTCAAATGCACCCTGTGTCTTAAAAGTGTAAAAATTGTAAGCCGCCGGTCTTGGTGGTGCAGCTGGAGAAAGCCGTCAGCTCTCTCTGCGCACAGAGGTCCTGAGGCTGGAGGTCTTTGAGCTGTCCGTTAGCCTTGGATGTCTTTCTGTTGACTTGAGAAACTGGAGAGTCACTAACCGGAACCAGAACTGCACAAAATATTTCCATCGGAGATGGGCATAAACACTTCGATGAAAATTTTGGGTCACTTTAATATTAAAAGAGGCAAACCGTAGCATAGTGACTGCTTTCGGTGCGACTTCAGTAGCTAGGAGTCGTACTCGGTGAGCGGTCCCCAGTGCATCATCCTCTTCCTCTGGCTGCTGAGCTTTAATATTTCTGACTTTACCTTGGCTATTCTGGGAGAACTTCATCTCCTGTTTGGAGTAACCTGCGAGTAGCTGGGACGTGAAGGCTGGACTTGCCCAGGGACAGAGTGTGTGGCTGTGGAGCGATTGGGAGGGCAGTCGTGGTTTTGGCCAGCGGAGCGTCGCCCTTGGAGGGGGCAGGCAGCATCCCATTCTGGTTGCTAGCCAGAGCATGTCTGGGAACCTTCTGAGTGTTGAGCACAAATAATTTCAGCCAGGTTTTCCTGGGAACTTGCTCTGCCTCGAGCTGGGAGCAGGTGAGGAGCACTTGTATGTTTATAGAGCTCTTTACAGATTACCCCGGGTGTCTGATAAAACCAGACTTCCCGTTCTGCAGTTGGGAATGCGCCCAGTTGGTCTAATAATTGCAGAGGTCTCTTATATGTTTAAAATGTTTCCTGCTGTGCATAATGCTGGATCCCCAGGTGAAAGCCCCTTCAGCGAAGCCCCTCCCTCATCTCTTCTAGGTTTGCATTTGGAAGTTTTGCTGCGGTCTGAAGTTTTATTTTAACCTGGTATGTGAAACATGTACTGCTGCTTTGTCTGCAACAAACGCACATATTATTTAAAGGGGAGGATGAGTAACTTTGTCCGCAGTTCTTAATTTTTTTTTTTGCCTGCCTTGGAATTTAATGTGTTTCCTTAAATGTTTATTTAACAATGCAGGAATTCGTTTGTGAAATGCTGCTACAGTTGTATCACTGGAGCTCAAGGAAATAAAATATTCTGATTTTTGTCTTTTTAGGCTCATGCTTGTGGCTTTCCTTAGCTGTGTAGTTGGGCATGGAGCTCCAACTGAGCAGGAGGAGGGTGTCCATGGCTCTGGGTGGTGGAGCCGGGCAGGCTGATCTCTGGAGGAATGGTGCCTTCTAGTGTTGCCTGAACGCTTGGCAGGCTCAGCACCTCACCCTCTGAGTCAGATAAAGCTCTTCGTCACCGCATGGGAGGAAGAAAATACTTCTGGGAGGGGTTTTGCAGCCTGGCGGGAGCTGACATTTCTATCATGGACTTGCACTCCTCTAGGAGCCGCTGAAGAGTTTGGAAACCTAGTCCTCCTGGCAATGAATTGGCTTCTGAGATGTGCAAAGCAAACCCACAGACTATGGCTTGTTCAGCAGCAAAGCAAATTCCCAAATTGGAATTTCTTCCCCCCCCCCCCGGAAGAAAGTGCACGGGGTGAAGGCCCTGGGGGGAGCTGCTTCTTTGCTGAGGTTTCAATAGTATTTGATGCATATTTTTGAAGGGAAAAACCCAGAAGATACTAAGCTGCTTTAGATCATACCTTGCCCTTCAATAAAAAGGAAAAGACACATTAATTGGTATGGTTTCTGTACAGCACTGGGGCTGGGGGAGGAATGCTTCCCTTAAAGCTGGGCTCAGCAGCGTCAGCTTAATCAGAGCCACTGAGCTGCCCCAGAGCCTGCGACTAAGCTGTCCCCAGGACAAATGAGACCCCCAGGGTCCGGCCAAGGTGGGCTCTAAAGGAAAAAAGTGAGTCTTAACCAAAACGTTTCAATTATGAGAAATCTCCAGTGTGGAGCTTCAGCTCTGCGTGGAAAATGTTTCTGGTCCCGAGGTGGCTCTGCATGGGGATTTTGGTTTCCACCTTCGTGTCTGTCGCAGGTAGCTTTGCTCTGGTCTGGTCCTGGTGATAAATCAATGTATTATTTGCTGTCTCAGCTGCTGCTGCGGGAGTTTGGGGGTTCCGCAAGCAGAGTGGCATCGCTGCAGGGCGAGGGGTGCCCGAGCAGCCTGGTTTGTACCGTGGACTTTGTTAAGGCTTCCATGTGCATAAGGAGAAGGAATTCCTCACGTCTTCTGGTGGTGGTGGGTGTTTGGGGGCCAAAGTCTGGTCTATCCAAAGTCTACCATACCTTATTTCTAAATTTGACTCTTTCCAATGTTGTCAGGAGGATCTGGGGTTCTTGCAGGTCCTTTTGCTCCTTTTCACCTCTTTTAAACCTGGCAGAACCGTGTGGTCCTTGTTCTAAATCTAGCATGAAAACCAAGTTGTCTTAAAATAATATTTCAGCTCACCAAGCACAGTGTGTTTCTGATTTAAAAAGAAGAGTCGGAAACTCCTTGGAGTAAATCTCCAGCCTTAAAATCTGGAGCTGGGTCTGAAGGATCATTTTGGGAACAGCCTCGTGTAGTTTTGTCAATGGGATGGAGCATAACTTGTTTCCTATTGGTTTTGTTTAGAAAACGACAGGTTTGGAATAGATGCTGATCCCCAGGGCATGCACCTTCCAGCGATGTAGGAGGCATTGATTTCACTGTGTTCCTGGTGCAGCAATTAAGAGATGCACCTAAAATCCTGAAGATTAAATTCCGTTGGGATGCAGCCAGCCAGCAGTTCTGCCTCAGCCCCTGCCAAGCTGGCAAAGGGCAGCTCGGCTGGGAATAAGAATGATAATTACAGGGTTTAGCAGCAAACACCTACCTGGAGGGTCAGGGCTGGCTGCAAAGGGAAGAAAAAGCAAGATACTACTGTCCTTGGTCCACCTCAAAGGAAAAAAGACTTTCATTTTCTTGGTTACTCTCCCCTTTCTCTTTTCCTTCGTGTTTTTTTTGTTTTGGTTTTTTTTGTTTGTTTTTTTTTTTACTGTCAGTGAAAAATCAAGAAGGTGCAACGGACCGTCAATGTCCTGGGGTGGAGAGCAGGCTGCCTTGCCTGGCTGATGAGCTTAAGAGACAAGATCAAAAGATAAAGTGCTATTTATGCTCAGCAAAATGTTTTCAACAGGTTTATATTTCTGTTTGCATTGTAGAGTAAATATTTAGCTCCCCTTCCCCCTGTGTAGTAAATGTGTGTAGTCCTAAAAGATGAGGTATGTAACACACTGCATGCATACCTCTTAAACCCTAAATACTGGTTTTATATGAAGGCTGGTGAGGACCTCTACATTTCTCTTTATCATAGTCACCATTCAGCTCCATCCTATTCCCAGTAATTCCCCAAGAAGTGAGAATTGCCCCTAATAGGTATCTGCATAGGAGGGCATTTTTGTGCTCGGGTGATATGTGATTATAGGCTCATGAATTATGCAATTAAACTTGCAGCTCAGTGGCTGATAACACCTATTCCTGTCCATCCATGTCTTCTCCATTAGACCCAGAGGGACTAAGGGATTTTTACCCCTGAATTACTCAAGGCTGTCAAAGCTCTGAATTAAGTCTGCTGAAATAAAGGGAAAACACCCCAAAACCTGTGGGAAGAGACTCCATACCCTTGCAAGATGCCCCAGGAAAAGCTTTCCTTGCCTGCCCAAGAGGGAGACGTGGCTGCAGCCCTTTGGCTTCGACATCCCTGAGGACTTCAGGATGCTCTCCCTCCGTTTACCTGGTGAGTAATTTAAATTTTTCTTATGTTTTCTCTGGTTTTGGTTTGCCTAAAGTTGTCTCACTCCATTAAATGCTTGTTTTGTGCTGCATCCTACTGGTGCCGCAACTAATAATGGAAAACGTGGCTGGAAATAAAGACATATTGTTTGTTAGGAAAGCATGAGGTGGCTGTAGAACCGGGAACGCCTGGGCTGAGTCCCAGTTTTCCCAGCAGGAAAAGGCTGCGGTCAGAAGGGGATGATTTTTCTCTGGATGGAGAGGCTGGCTGAGATTACTAGAAAGGCTGAAGGACCTCTGCAAAACATCACATCGATGGTTATCTCTTCTCCCTCCTTTCTGCTTTAAACCTTTGGCATCCGCCTGGCTTGTTGATGGCCCTTAAGTGGAAATGGGGAATTCCTGCAGCCCAGCAGGATGGGACACATCCGTGGGGCACGCGGGTACCGAGAGCCGCAGTGGGAAGCGGCAGAGCAAGCAAAGCCCGAGGGCATCGCCCTGGCTCCTCCATCACCTCCAAACTTTCGGGACGGCTCCCCAGAAGGAGGAATGAGCTGCTGGAGGTGCCACCCGTGGGCATGTGGCACTTGCCAAGAACTGTGA